AACGGAAACGGACGTCTCGGGAAGTGGCGGTTGACGGGACGGAAACTGATCAACGTCAACGGAGCGGCGTCGTCCGCACCCGGTTCGGACACGGATTCCTCGAGATTGACTTGGATCGTTTCCGATCCCGGTTCGGACACGTGTTTCTCGCTGGGGAGGAGGATATCGCCGGTTGTGGAGGGTTTAGAGTCAGCTTCCGGCAGAATTTCTGTGGCCTCTTTGGCGAAGGCCTCGATTTGGGGAAGATCAGACGCAAAACGGGCGTGAGAGAAGGCGAAGAAGAGGCAGAGAAGTACGAAGGTGACGGCGAGTTTGGCCATTGTTTGGGGAAGAGGAGGAGATTGTGAGACGCAGAGAAATTGTGATCAAATGACAAAGTAAAAAATAAATAAGAGGGAGAGAGAGAGAGAGAGAGAGATTTTGTACGTGGAGGTGTATGATTGGGTAGTGGAGTTTGACTTTGAGGAAGGAGTGAAAGGCAGGCAACATGGGTGACCAGGCAATTAAAATGAGAGGGGCACGCATGTTATTGGAGGGAGGGGTCTTTAGTCTTAGCGTCTTGCACGGGTTGTGGTTTTGGAATTTTCATCGGTTCCACATTTGGTTTGGTGAACCACTCAAGTCATAGACGTATGTAAAAGACAAATTAGATAACGTTTTAATGGAAATTAATATTATTATTTGGGTTAATGGTGTCCATCACATGAAGTCACACAATATACAATAGCTAGGTCTAAAAATGTAGGGAGTTTTATTTTTTTTTTTTTCGGGAACCAATAGAAACTGTTGTTTTAATTTTTCAACAGTTTAATTTATGAGTGTCAACGCAACAATATTTATTGCGCTCACATTAAAAAATAATTAAAAAATTAAAACAACAGTACTTATCGGTAAAAGACAATTCTTACCATAAAAATTCTCTTTTTGTTACTGATTTAGAGATGAATAACTTCATTGCTACATGATTTTTCTCTTTTTTATCATCCATATGTAGGTCTCAAGTGAATGTTACTAAGGGACGAACACTAATGCGAATGGTTGTAAAGTTGTAAAGTTATAAGATGGGAATGATAGGGTATTAAAAATCATCTTAGAGCTTGTTGTTTGTGTTTACTTTTCATTTTGATTTGATTTTGACTATATTTATGTTTATTTTCTTATTCGTCCCTGATTTTGAATTATGATTCACGGTTCTCTACAGTGTTTTCTCTCACAAAAAATACACGTAAAACGAGAATGATTATGAATCATGATTCTGAATACATAAACTAAACGTTAAAAACATATACTACCAAATAAATATACGTCATTTTGCCAATTTCACTCGGTTGAATAATCGCTTTAGGAAATTTCTCAAGAGGAGAGAGAGAGACTTACATTACACTACTGTTCTTAACACAAAAGTTGCTTCTTTGAATTTGAGAGCATAACAGATGACGCGTTGCTTGACCGAAGATAATAGACTTGGGACAGTGACTTGAGAATAGACAAACCAATTCATTCTATCTTGCTCGTAGATATGTTATTCTTTGATATTCATTTTTCTGAACTAGATTGTCATTTCGGCTTATAGCTATTGTGTGTTGATGTTGTGGTCCAGCGCACGGCCCCTTATAGGGAAATTGCAGAAAATAGGCCTACTTTTAAAATTTACAAAGTGAATAACTTATTTACCAAGATCGGAAATAAATAAGCCTTTTTTCAACTTTTAATATTTTGTTTGCCAATTTTGCCCTTAGGTATAGGATTTTTTTTTTAAAATTTTTTTCTCAAATTATTTTTCTTTTCTCCCTCTACTACGCTATCTCTCTCTCTACTCTCCCTCTTCGACTCTTCTTCTATCTCGCTATCTCTGTTCATCTCCTCCGTCTCTCATCTTTAAATCAAGTTGCCGGTGAAGGTAAAACTTCGGCCAAAGTTGGCGGGAAAGTTGGGTGAAGGATTAGGGGGAGAGATAGTCGGGTCCATTGCTTGGGATCTCCGGACAAGGACAGAACTTCGTTGCAATCGTGGTTGCTCCGTCGTACTATCGACAACGTTCGAGTCCTTTGCAGAGATACACAAAGATTGTCATTTCCGATCGATTTCATTCTCACAATCTTACCCTTATGGCGTCGCGACAAATCGTTACCGCTGCGAGCAGTTCGGCCTCTTCACCGGCCTGACAACTCCTAGGGGTTTACGAAGGTGCTTCGGTGAAGAGAGAGAAAGGAGCGGCGCTTTGGTGAAGAGAGAGAGAGAGAGAGAGGGGACTATCAGTGCGTTTGGTTCAAGGATTCGTGTCGTGCTTCGAATCATGATTCGTGGCTCGTTATAGTATTTTTTCTCACAAAAAATACACATAAATCGAGAATAATTCTGAATCCATCAACAAAACGTTCTCTATATCTCAGTACCGTGAGGTTAAAGAGAGAGAGAGGGAGGGAGGAAGGGAGAGAGAGAGAGACAGACCAATGAGAGACGTGAGGTAGGGGTTCATTCCAAAATTTTTACGCAAGGGTAATTTGGTATTTTTCAAATTAGGATAAGTCCAGATTTACACTTAATTAGCCTATTTACTAACTAATTAAAAACTTCGGCCTATTAATTTTTATTATCATTTTAATTTGGCCCATTTCCCTCTTTCTCACTTAAAATTAATAGGCCAATAGTTTACATAGGTTAAATTACTGTTTTCGTCCATAACTTGTCTGGTTATGAACCATAACTTGACAAGTTATTGTCCATAATTATCCATAACTTATCTGGTTATGAACCATAACTTGACAAGTTATGGCCTATTAATTTCTATGACTAAAAATTAGCCTATATACTTTCTTAAGCTTTTCATATTGGCCTAATTTTTACTATTTTCTTAATTTTAATTCATCTCAAATCTTGACATATTTTTCTGTTTCTCCCCTTCTTTTATCTCTAAAATGACTGATGCTCATGCATTACCCTACCAAAAGCTAGATATGCTCCCCTCCTAACTTGTGATCACAGGCCTTGTGATCAAAGCCCAACTTGTCACATGTGATAATCTAGTAGACTACTTGTGATAATCTAATAGATACTCTGGTATCGATAATTTTGGCAAAAACAAATTTTGTTGATTTTTGAACGATTACTGGACGGGCAGATTTTGTTATACGGAGCCTAATTATGCCATGACGATTATTACCTTATGCAGAGGATTTGTGCTTGTAAATTCAGAGATTTGCGAGCAAAATTTCATTAAGAGTATTTTTGAGATTTTACGATTGTAAATTCGGTTGCCGTAGTTTTTCATTATAAAAGAGGACACTGGTTTTCAGTCATTATTAGAGAGATTAGAGAAAGCAGAGAGTCGTGAGGTGCGTTTCTTCATCATAATGAATGGCTGCATCTGCCGAAAGAGAACATAAATCTCACATTCAATCGAACCTCAACATAAATTTTGTATATTCATTTCTGTTTGATTTCTTTTTTACGTTTTTAATTGCTCTCGGTAATACAAAATTAAGGCGTCTAATTCTTAACATAATTCTGACTCCTATTGAAGAGACAAAATTAATACCATACCTTATTAAAACTCATGTATTCTTTAATTTTACCCTAAAAAAGAAAAGAAAAGAGAAGCAAAAGGACTTCCAAAAAGAAAAGAAAAAAGTAATATTAAAGGACGGTTCTGATCGGAGGCTAAACACATCACTAAATACAAGATTAGTAAAAGGACAATAAGCTAAGGTACGCCAATTACACTCAACGTGTTGCCAGGTTAGACATTATAAACAATCAAGCTATTTAAGGTAAATAAATCTCATTTGGATTTAGTTCATGGATTTTCATGAACCCCAAACACCCTAGAAAAAGGACAAACAAAACCAGGACCCAAATTCGTTACCCACAAGGAAACACCACACACCCTGGCCCCAGCTAGCTGATAAACAAATACCTAAACCAAAATAAAACTCAATTATCATCATTCCCATATATTCCAATGCTCCCACACAAAAAAAAAAAAAAAAAAAAAAATCCCACAAAGCTCCCAAGCATGCTGTCCCGAGCCCTCACAGCGAAGCCTAGGAAGATCAGTACGATCTTCAAATATGGGTCAAAGTCAACATTCGGATGGAGCAAATCGGTCTCGGTGAGCGAATACGACGACTTCAGCACGGCCGTTGGATTCATGGAAGATCAACCGTTGGTCCACTGCGGCCCAAATCATCACGGCAAGATCATCATGAAACAGTACTCGTCATCATCATGTGGGGATCACGACACGGGGTGGACCCACGGCCAGCTGATGCTGAACGAGGTTTTGAGGGCTTCGGTTGCGGTGTTGGGGGACCAGAGCCGGCTGGGGATGAGTGAGAAAGTGGTGCTTTCGGGAGGGAAGATTTGTGTGTTGAAAAGGTTTAGGAAACTGAGTGTTGGGAAGAGTGAGTTTGGGAAGAGATTAGAGAGGTTTTTTCAGGTGAGTGTTAAGTCAAAGAATAATCTTGTGCCTGTCATGGCTTATCTCTATGCTAAGAGGATCAAGTTTGTTCTATGTGATTATTATCCTATGGGCAGCCTCGCAGACTTGCTTGCTGGTATGTATGTAATTCCAAGTATATATATTTGTGTATATATATATATATATGTTTGTGTGTATATGTGTATATATATGTGTGTGTGCTTGTATACACAAACGCATGCTTAGTCGTCCATCAGTTCTTCATGATCTATAACATTTTGCGACGAATAGTAATATAGTTGTACGAACTATTTCCAATTGCCGTAGAGTTACATAAGGAATATGGATTAATGATTGAGTTTTTAGTGTCTCAAGCAGCGTCTAAGTAATCACAATATCATGACACGTTATTGAATGGAATCAAACATTAGAATATGAAAAATTTGGTTAATTTTCTTTTCATTATTTTAAATAACATGGTATAATATATGATTGGTAAGACATCATTTTAGGCAGTAAAATTAGATAAGTAAATTACGTAGATAGTTTCTCCTACAATTGTTAGTCATCACCATCATGATTCATCGCTATTGACCTTTTCTTTTGCATATTAATCATGTATGATTTGTATGTCTCATGCACTGTTATCATGTTCTCATAGGAAAGATCATCATGATTATATATTATTGTTTTGCATGAGTGGCCAAAAAACTCATATTATCTAGCATTTTTAATATTTTATAATAATTTCATTCTTCGTCGGTCAATATCTCGCGTCATTTTATGATACGCATATATATAATAATGTATCTACGCATAAAGTTATTATATTTAAATAGAGACGTACGACGTGCACTAACTATATGCTGCCAATTGAACAGAATCATTTTGTAGCCATATTTCAATCACAGAGTTTACTAATATATAGTACGATCGTTATAATGAAAAGAATACTAATTTATAAGAATAAATTATCTGCAAATGACGATCAATTTCTTCCTACTTATAATTATCAACTAAGCCTGATTAAAGTTTTCTTTGTTTGGTTAAGGTAGTAGGCAACATGGTCACACAGCCCTAGACTGGAACCAAAGGCTCACAATTGTTCTCCACATTGCGCAAGCAATCGCGTTCATCCATGCAATATCGCCAGCGCAAGAGAAGAACATGCAAATGAACGTGCATGGCAACATAAAGGCTTCCAACGTCATGATAAACACCGATTTCTCCGCCTGCCTGTCGGACTACGGCATAGCTCAGGTGGCGGAGCGAGTGGAGGTTTTCAACGCGTGGCAATGGAAGCCGGGGTCACCGACAGATGTGTACTACTCCGACGCTCTTTGCCAGAAATGCGACGTC